AGACGTTTTTGGATATCTCCGACCAATCACATGTAAGGAATCGTACTGAGGCGGCACCTCATTCGCTGAATAATCCCAGGATTTCAATGTGAAAGTTTTGCCCAATGCCACCTAAACAGAAAAAAGGAAATAACTAATGTATTTTTATCGTAGCAAAAAAGACATACACGACAGAGCAGCATGTATCTACAATGTTTGGCCGATGCTACGCAGTAATTTACACTTTTTTGGAAAGCGTCCGAGAGGTAGATGCCCTAAAAAGAAATTTTTTGGAGAGAAAGACGGAAGATGAAGAAAGAGGAAAACATAAAAACAGATTTTATTCTTTAACTCTGAGTGGGTGCTTGCTGTGAAAATTGCAAAAAATCAACTTATGATAGAGAAATTTGAGTGCAAGGTAGTCAAAATGACCATGTGCGGGTTAAGGTTCGTAAAATTTTGTTCTTTGAATTTGGGAGTTGCTAAAGCGAGTCTAACATTTTATCACTTTGAAATTGATCTAACCAAAACGGGCCTACTGAGATTGCATAGCGAAATTGTGATGCGAGAAAGAGTTTTAGATTTGGATATGGTAACCAAAAAACTCACATCACCAAAAAGTCTTCCTGTAATAGATGTGTTCTGTGGATCAACGAGGAAACCATCTTTGAGGATGCTAAGTAGATTGACAGCTTTCGTGCCGTGCCAGAGAAACCTGAACAGGAATTGAAAAAAAAGAAACTTTTGCCTTTACTAATTGCTGCTTACTTCTGGTTTTCTTCATCCACAAACTTTTCAAAATTCAAAGTGGCGGTCCTCGGCGATAAGGCGATTATAGTCTAAAATAATTAGCTCCAATGATAATCCTAACAACCTGAAACCTCGAATGCATGTAAAGCAAGCCGAAAGAAGAGATTACCTTGATTTTGGCAGAAGGTTCACCCGTGACGTGGATGTACCTCAAGATCATTTGGCTCATTTCATCTGCTGGTTTCATTTCCGTAAAACCGCATTCTAGCGCAGAAGTGATGAAGCTAAAATTACGTAAAAAGAGCAGATGCTCCCAACAAAGTAAACTTACCTCAATCGGTCAAGATCTGGATGTTGAGCGGCGGCAGTGAGAATTCTTGTAGAAACTTCTACTTCCGTCAATCTGTTCAGTGCGGACTGAGCCTTTCGAATATTATCATCCTGAATGAGACAAGAAATGATAGGCAAATGTTTGGGAGTGATGAGTACATATGTTGC